AAAATGCTGACATTTGGGAACTATTTCATCTCGAGTATATTATAAACTGCATCCATTTCGAAAGCAAGAATATTTTTTAGTTCAATATTTGTTGGAATCGACACTTAAGAACTATTTTATCATGTTAGACTAGCCTTGCGTATATATATATATATATATATATATATATATAGATCTATTGTACAATATTTCAAAAGTTTCTTGATATGGTTCTATAGGCAATATTTTATGCTTTTCCATTTCCTGAGATTGTTTGAATTTGAGAGTTAACCTTTGCTGTTTGGCCAACTGGGAGATGGAAAGGGAAGTGCAAGAAAATTCAATTTTTTCTACATTTTTGTGCATTTGATAGTATATAAGTTGTTGGACCTATGAGAAAATCCTTCCTGCCAAAGTTGTAAGATTGTAAAACACCTGCAATTCATACTTAAAATATCATTTTTCCCTTTTCCAATAATAACTAAAATAAATGGCCACATACGATTTTCCTTCTCCTTTGTTAATTCATTTACATGATTTGTTTTATTTGACATTTTCCAAGAAGCACATCACAAACTGTCCTGTGAATATCCAAATGGACCTGATAGGTAAAATCTGGTGCAGTCTAAACATTCGAAGAATTTAAATGAAACCTGTGTACCTGAAGAACTGTTAAAGTCATTGTTTCTTTTTCAGACATCCAGCCACCGGGAACTTCAAAGGCAAGGGCAAAATGAGTCACCTGGGTTAAGAGGGGACATAGAAAAGTGTTAGACACAGAACACAACACGTATGTAAAGAGGATATGGGGGGAGGGAGAGATAAAAAAGACGTTTCAGATACATACCTCTGCATCGGCTTGACAGCGGTAATCTCCTCCCACATACACAGGTTTAGGCTCCTCAGTGGCGGCCACCTTAGGTAAATCAGACAGAAGAGGTTCTGCAACTTTTAAGAATTCTTCATGTTCAACACCAGATGCAGCAAGAACCATCCGAGGAGCAGTATAATTCTCCTGTAAGAAGGAAAACCAGTTTAAAAACAGAAGTTCCTCTGCAAAAGTAAGTAGTAAAAAGAGGATGTGGGAAGACCAGTGGAGGGAGATCAGGGTTTTGACACTCACAGCTACAAACTCCTCCAGCACTGTGCTGTTTAACCTGTTTATTGTAGCTTCTGTGGCCATCAGAGAATTCCCATATGGACCAGCATAACCAGCAGAATGAACTGCCTCCAAAAGCAAGTGTTGAGGGTTTTTGGAGTACTCGCTAATCTCAGCTTTAACCTTCTCAAGCTGCAAGGCGAATATTATTCTCAGAAAAAACAGTTTGAAAGCCGTTTCAAGGAAACACCAAAGATGACCAAGAAGAGGGAAACCTGTTCTTTAACTTCCCAATCCAGGAATGCAGGATTTCTAACACAGTCAACAAGCATCTCCACCATTTGTGGTACATAAGTTTTCAAAGCATCATAAGTGTAGATCATATGCTCTCGTGAGGCTGAAGCTGTTACATTACCACCAATTGCTTCAATTTCTCGTACAATACGCAAGTGACTCCGGTTTAATGTGCTTTTGAAGGCCATGCGTTCCAAGAGGTGTGTGGCTCCATATGAAGCTGGTGTCTCGTAAATAGAGCCACAGTCAACATAGAGGCCAATTGAGGCAGCAGGGTTCTGGATTCAATAAAGTAGAACCATAATTAGAAACTGCAGTAAAGGTAATTCAAAGTGAATTCAGTTGAAAAAAAATCCAGGATTCATACCACCGATGCTTCAGAGGCCACTTTGAGACCATTGGCGAGAGTCGTTATCTGAGTCTTTGCAGGTTCTACATAATCAGGTAATGGCGGTGAGAGTTTAACATCATTGAGGGGGAAATCCAAGGGAGTCACTGAACTTGACGTATCACCAGTTATCCAACTAAAAAGACCTCCAGATGGCTTGGTTGCAACAGCAGCTGAACTTGAAAATCTTGTCAAGACCCTGTTGCCTTGACGTGCCTACAATGCTTTATACTTTCAGAAAATGCGTAATCTAATGATTATCTTTTCATGAACATGAAGTTGATAACAAAACCTTACATCAGAATGCATCAAACAGAAAGTACGAATTCTACTTCAACCTTTTATTAAATAAAAAATACCCTATGCCCAACCCCTCTCCCCAAGAGTCAATAGTGATCCTTCCTCAATTTACTCCCTTGGTGACTCGAACCGCCAACTTCAACGTTGGACATGGAGAGTGATTCAACTTCAGTACCCATCCCTTATCGCATCAATTCTACTCTTAGATAAACCAGAACAATGTTCCGTAATACTAACTTTTCACAGTCTAATTCAACCTACTTAGAGCAGAATTAGCTTTAAAACTTGGTCCTTTTTCTAAATTTCCATCCATTACTCATAAATGCTCCCAAATTCTTTTCGCAATGCAACTTCCACCCATAAAAATGAAATATTTTGTATATCCCATTTATAGCAATACAATGAATTCCCAGCCGTAATACCAAACCACCAAAATCGTGGGATGGTGATCATAGTGGTTAATGAAGCGGGTTGAGAACTATAAGGCCTCAGGTTTCAAATGCTGGCCAGCAGAGACAAAAAAAATACTAGGTGATTTCTTTCTATTTGTCCTAGTCTAGGTGGACAGAGTTAGCCAATAATTGTTGCTGGCAGGAGCTGAGAGGTCAAAGGTATCCCGTGGAATTAGTCAAAGTGCACACAAGTCAGCCCGAACACCACGGTTATCACAAAAATAAAATGATCAAATAGTTGCACCCAAGGGTGTGGCCTAATGGTCAAGGAAGTGTGTTGAGACCTATGAGATCTCGACAAATTCCAATAGAGACAACCCAGGTGATTCCTTACCATCTATTCTAGGTAGCCTTGGTGGACATAGTTACATGTTACCTGGTAGGAGGTCGCATGTATTCGTATAATTAGTCGATTAGTCGAGTTGCGAGTAAGTCAGTCCAACACCACATATATAATAAAAAAATGATCAAATCAATGCCTTTTATCAGATAAATTTTGTTTACTAAATTTGAAAAACAGAGAAATGAACTCTACCTGCCATACATGATTAAACTCAATATATTCCATCTAATAAATTTATCCAATAAATAACATAGCCGTCATATCGACAAAAAAACGACCTAAGATCAGATCCAAAGATCTAACTAGATATCTGCAGAATCGATTTTAATATATGAATCTAACAATAACACAAGAAAAAAACATTGCGCTAAAATTAATTACAGTTTATATGTAGACTTTTTCACATATCTGCGTGTGAAAAAAAATTAAAAAAAATATGGCTGACCTTAAGAGAGCTGAGGCGAGACGATGCACATCTGTACATTTTGACGGTGATGATCGGAGAACTGAGTAGAGCTCCGGGAAGATGAGAAAAGCGATTTTGTAGGGGAAAAAAATCAGTGAAAAATGAAGCTGCGGGGAAGAAGAGCAAATATTTGGGTGTATTGGAATTTGGAAAAGTTGAGAAACTTTCTTTGATGGGCTTTTGCAAGAATGTAAATAGCCCATTGGGCTAAGGGATAATTGGGTGGGCTAGTCACTTTTGGAAATGTTTTCTAAAAAAAAAAAAAAAATTAGGTTTAGCAAACATAAAAAATCATATTTGTATGCTATAACTATAGTTTGTAAAATTGCGCTCCATAGCAAATTTTATATTTTCTATGGCTATTAATCTATATATTACGGTATACATATACATAAAAATTTGTATTTGTATATTTTGGTATACAAACTAAAACATAGTAATTGTATATAAATAAAATTACTACATATATACAACACATATGTATATCGAATGGGTCTATTGTATATTTCGGTATACAAATGGGTCCTGCAAATTAATTTTTATACAACACATATGTGTACTGAATGAGTCTATTTGTATATTCGGTATACAAATGGGTCCTGCAATTAATTTTTATATGTGTATACCGAATGGGTCTATTTGTATATTTCGGTATACAAATGGGATGGCAAAAAACATGGAATATTTGCTGCGAATTACAAATAAAATAAACTATGGCTATAACATTTAATTTGAATTAATAGTTTGTTATTTCATACAATTTTCCCTAAAAAACGAGTTTTCCAAAAAAAAAAATTTTGTGTTCGGTAGGTAAGTAAAAAATATAATTCTAAAAGTATTTGTATATATAGTTTAGACAAATAGAATGAAAGGTGGAGGTAGGGGTCGGGATGAGGGATATGGTTGGATTGAAGATAAGGCGTGTTGGAGAATGAGGGCTAAGGGGGATTGAAGATGAGGTGTGTTGGAGGATGGAGAGAACATAATCAATGTGAACTGCTACATGGGGAACTTGTTTTTTTAATGTTCATTAGAAAAGTCATTTTTCTTAAACTAATTTTTTTAGAGAAAATGTTTTTCAAAAAAATTGCCCCCAAAGCCTAGCTCGAGTGGCAAAAGGTGGAGGATTTGTCGTTTAGGTGGCTGGTTCAAGTCCCACACCACGCAAAGTGAAGCCTGATATTTAAGTGGAGAAGGGTAGAGAGGCGGGCCCATTATCCACCGAGTTTAGAAAGTTGTGATTGATCCAAAGGGAGGATCACGGACAGATTTCTTGATTATCCAAAAAAAAAAAAAAATCAAAAATGAGAAAATTGAAAACACCGTTAGAACACACCAACCGAGCTACACTCAATTTGTGGAAGTTATACATATGACCACTTGATAAAAAATATTTAAAATTGTTAATCAATACGTAGACGGACAACTATTTTGGTTAATTTTCTTTTAGACAATCTTTTCATTTGAGAAAATATCAAACTATGGTCTAAAATTTTTAAATTATTATAAAATGACATGATGGTCTAAAATTTTATCTATAAGATCAAGAAATATATTAGTAAACATTAGACTTGAGTTTAACATTATCCAAACAAGCTTGCTATTTTGTAATTCATCCACCTTTTAGTTAAACTATGGATCCTCATTTTGGTAAATATAAGTTAAATATCTTGTCACAACTTCATTCAGTCTCCTATGAATATTTCATATTATACACCTCGACTGTTTCACCGAGTACATGTTGTCTATGAGGTAACTCTGTTTACCAAGATTTGGACATATGGAAAGAAATCACAGCTAAAAAACTGTTTCTCCGGAAAATGTGGTATTTAGCCAGTTTTCGAACATTATCTACAAATAATAGACTGATTCAAATGCACAAATCAAGCAAGATGAGTTCATCAGATGGCTGCAGGTCTTCCATCTTTCCTAGGATCACTAACAGCCACAAGCAGACCACGAAAAATACCGTCTTTATATTGTTTTCCACTCCTTCTGCCTAACTGTAACGGAGGATTTGGAAGGTTTTGAACGATTAACTGACAGATGGCTCCTCCGCTTCTTGCCTCGAGTTGGTGACCTCTCTCTTCTAAGAAATGCTTTTTATCATCCGAGAGTTCAATGTGATCGCCATCTATGCATGTCCAGTTCTCATACAGAACAACATTTGGGATTAGCTGCAAAATGAAAGGAATTGAACACGAATCAATACTCGTGATTTGAGAAATGAGTAATGAGAATAGTGTACATTATGCAAAAGGATCAACCTCGTGGTAGACTCTCGGACTCTGTACTGCAGCTAAAGGATCCATCCCTAACACAAAATGGTTGATGAAAACTTGGACGACTGCAAAGATGATTTTTAGGCCACCACTACCACCAATTACACCAGCTAATTGATTGTCCTGTAAAACAATCATTCTACGTCATATGACTACACTAAGCAGCTAAAAGATGGACTTGTCGTTCAAAGGATCACATTCTGAATACCTTGAGAACGATAACTGGAGTCATGGATGATAACGGTCTCTTTTTTGGTCGAATAAAATTAGCAGGAGCAGGAGGGAGTTTATCGGGGGATATTTCATTAGGTGTTGAGAAATCTCCCATTTCATTGTTGAGTACTATACCGGTTGATGGAGAGAGCACACCGCCTCCAAATGGATAGTTTACTGTGGTTGTCACTGATACAGCATTTCGATCTGCATCCACAATGCAAAAGTGACTCGTTCCATGATCTCTTAGCTGACCCCACCTAAGAATCACGGATCAAACGCGTTAGAGCCAGTTGGTAGGCAAGAAGCAAGAATCTTGTTAGTCCTAGCTTCAGTCCGAAACAGAACTTATCTGACCTGGGCAAATAGTATTCAGGAGGAAAGGTGGTATTGTCAAAGATCTTTCGTTGAATTTCTTTGGCGAAAGACGGGGAAAGCATGTCAGATACGGTACTACTGATATTTACAAAGTCGGGATCACCAAGGTTCATTCGAACTGCAAGCATGTGTTTCATCGCCTCAATCATTCGATGCTGTCCTAAAGAACCTTTCACAGCATTTGAACTCACATAGTTTTCAAGGACTTTAAGAATCTGTTTTCCTCAGACATAAAGGTTTTAATCAGACAATCGTGTCGTATTAATTTTAGCAAAACAAGCTAAGTTGATTTATATACATACCAGAGAAATCCCGAGTGTTCCACTGGACGGAGGTGGCATCCCAACGATTGTATAGCCCATAGCATTAACAGTAACTGCTTCTGGAGTTTCCACTCGGTAATTCCTTAAGTCGTCCATCGTCAAAATTCCACCTGCTCTCTTCACATCTTCGACAAGCTTTTCACCAACCTCTCCGTTATAAAATGCTTCTGGCCCTTGTTCAGCAATTAGCTCTAAGCTGTGGCTAAGTTCTATGTTATGACAAATTTCACCTGCTCGTAACGGCTTTCCCTCAGGTGCAAAGACTTGTCGCAAGCCAGGATCTTTAAGTAGCAATTTTGCTTTTGTAGCAATAGAGTTTCCGAGATATGGAGCAACCACGAATCCCTCCCTTGCAAGTTTAATGGCTGGTTGAAATAGGGTCTTCCAGGGCAACCTCCCATTTTTCGACCAAGCTGCGTGAAGACCAGCTAGCTCACCAGGAACTCCCATAGACAATGCTCCATTTAACTTGGAGTCCCCATTATTATCATACATGTTCTGTTTGAGTATAAACAGATTAAATTCTGTGTTTCCAATATTTAGATACTAAACACAACAACTACTATGTCTCAGTCATAAACAAGTTGACGTCGGCCATATGGATCCTGACTTACCATGTTACTCCGTATAAGCTCATTTCATGCCAATATTATACAACAACAACAACAATATACCTAGTGCAATCCCACAAGTGGGGTCTGGAGAAGTTAGAGTGTACATAGACCTTACCACTACCTTGAGAGGTAGAGAGGTTGTTTCTGATAGACGCTCGGCTCAACAAAAAGCATATCAAAGCAGATACTATAGAAAACATGATAAAGCATGCTGGGGAAAAAGGCCACTAAAGTAAAATAGTGCGATAATTGAAGTACAAGAGATAATAGATGATTACAGAAATCGAAATACAAGAAACTATAGACGAAATACTACGACTACTAGTTTGAAAGGACATGTCAACATTATCCAAAATAAGAAGTAATAGAAGTTCATGATATTTGAAGGGCTAAACAAAACTACAATTATCTCATGCAAACAGCAGCAACAACAGCTACTATTAGTACTATTGCTACTACACCTCAATCACAAACACGTCAGGATCGACTATATGAATCCTCACTATACATGTCACTTCGTGTAAGCTATAACTTTCTCACGTACGTACAAACTAAATAGTTATTCGATGAATAAAAGTTGAACACAATGCTAAAAAAGAAGGAATTATGAACCTGTGAAGCAGCTAAAGGAGCAGTTTCCCTCATGTCAATTGCTAAGACTTCTGATGTAGATGAAGATCTAACAACCATAAAACCGCCACCGCCAATTCCACTAGCCATTGGATTGACTACTCCAAGGCACAGTGCTGTGGCAACTGCAGCATCAACTGCATGTCCACCAATTTTAAGCATGGAAATACCGATTTTCGAGCACCGACCATCATCAGCAGCAACAACTGCTTCCTCTGATTCAACAACATCAGCATTTTGCTGTAGTCTTTCATTATATCTGCTACTATTTACATCTCCAATTAGCCATACACCAATGTCTCCATGATGTGTAAGCCCAACAACTAAAAAAGAATGTTAAAAGTGTGAAAAAAATTGTGTAGGCTCAAGCAACTTCTTGAATTTGTATTTAATTAGACAATCCATGTTTAGCCATAAAATTTGATCAGATTTTGAAAATCTCCAAATTTTAGGGCTTCCACTCATAAAACTTCGATTTTTTTCCATATAAAATCCATATCATAACACAACTTCAAAAACTCAAATTTTCAAGTTTCAACTTTAAAATCTATGGTCAAACCCGAGCTTAATCAAAACATATCTCAAAAGGGTCAGTGGAATTCAACCCTACCAACAATAATTCAAGAATCTCCTTCACAATTTCAAGATCTACAACATGACACTTCACTTCTTTAATCCAATCTAATGGGGCACTTTAATCTTCGTAGTTTTAAGGGAAAATGGTTTGATATACACCGTTATAAAAGTAACTCATATATACTCTTAGTAGTGTTGCAAAAATGGCTCACAACCCAAAACCCAACTAAATATCCTATCAAGTATTAACACAATCATAACCAACAACAATAACAACACAACCAGATGATAGGATATACGCAGATGTTACACACAAACAACATTTTCTTGATTAGATTGTTTTTTTCCTCATATACACCCATATTAAAAACCAACATGTTTTCGAAAGCAAGATTGCAAGAAAAATACGATAACAAAATAGCAAGACACAAAAATAAAGATTAAAACTCACATGTTATGGCAATGAATGCAAATAAAAAGCAAAGAGAAAGACTCCATTTTTTCTTTCTATTAGAACCAAGAGGAGGAGGAGAGTCCAAAAGTGGACCTTCTAAAATATGTTTCCCCATATCTCTAAAATTCTATAGCTAAACAAGAGACATAATAAAGGAAGGGGAAAGTTAGATAAAACTTTTGCTTATAGTGTGGGACCTTTGTTAGTTGATCATGACTATGATCGCTTGGTGGTGCCAACATAAAGAATCTCCTTTTATGTATAATATATGGTGTTCGGATCCTACATTAAAGCTCTAATTGTATTTGAATTGCACACTGTAAACGTCTATCCATGGGTGATGCTCTTACTATAATTTTCTCAATATTCCGGCTCAAGTCGACACTTTTGATTAAGGATGGAGCATCCTCAACACTGCACCACAACTCATGTTGATAATTTTATGTGCTACAAAAGTTTGATATTTTGAATTTTTTTTAAGTATATCTATGTCGAAGTACAACTTTAAATTCTAAAAATCACAACTTTAAAATTTGTATATGTTGTTGTTAAAGAATTATAAAACCTTGATCTCAAAGTGAATAATAACAAATTGTGTCATTAAAGTAAAATTTTAAAAATTAAAATTAAATACTGTAACTTTTTATCTCTGTGCGGAATCAAAGCTGTCCACCTTAATTAAATACAAAACACACGTTTTTTTTCCATGTGAACTTTCACTATAATAATAATAATAATAATAGACTGTCTAATTATCATAACAGGCTGTATTGATTTTATATATTATTACCATTTTAAGTCCGTCAAAAATCATTAACTGCTTCCACACATTTTAACTTTTGTTGGTATAATATATCACAAATATAATAAATAACAAAAATGAACATACTTAATACTTCTCATTTTTTTCCATTCTATATTTTCTTATACATTTCTTTTCTTGTACTCAAAATAAAGTACAACATTTGATCAACACCATTTAAGAAATACTAATATTAAAATGTTGCTCCAATCATTTAAGAAATACTAATATTAAAATGTTGCTCCAACAACTTTCAATTAATTTTGGTCAACACCCCGCCCCCCACCCACCCCACCCCAAAAAAAATTGTGAATTTTTCAATAATTTAGCAAACTAATGGATGTATTATGCTAAATTTGCCTTGATGTCTCCATATATGAGGGGATTTATTAATTCTTAAAAGTACTATCAATACCATATTTTTCTTATTTAAAGGGAACAACAGATATAATTATGAATAATTGAGGAATTAAAAGTATAGTTATTCCTGATTTTATAGAAACAAAAAGGTTTAGTTGTTGGATTTTTCTCAATTTTTTCTTAAGGGCGTTTGGTACGTGGATTAAATTATTTTGAAATTGTAGTTTTAAAACTCCTTGACTAATTTATTCTATCTCAAAAGTGAGATAAAATAATATCAAATTTAATTAAATGAGGTGGGATTAAGGTTATATTTGGAATTAGAATTATACTATATGTCTAATTAACAATATAAATTTATCTTATAATATAAAGTTAATCTTAAATCTAATTTTGAAATATCTCAACTTATTCCACGTAGCGAATTGTTTAGTTGAGTGCCCTTATTATTTTGATTTTAGTGAAAACGACAAGGAGGAATCTTTATGGACTATGGTATACACAAATATAAGTGATTGGCCAATCCCCAAAAATATCTCCACACGTTTATATGATTTTACTATACTATTGGAATCTCATACTTCATCGATATATTATATTATAAGTGACGATAATAAATATGAGTATTTATAATTATCATTATATGTAAATATTATTAAAGGTTTTAAGCCTTTCAAGGTAAGATATTAACTTAATTATGGTTAAATATTTTTGCGGTAGTTAATATTACAGCTAAAAGAAAATTTTATCATCACTAGATATCACTTTTGTTATAGATCATATGATTTTATGGCTATAAGAGTTTTCATCTCTTTCGTTAATAGTGACGGATCCAACGATGAATTCAACAAAAATCATCGTTTTCGAATTAAACTAGATCTATACATAAAATATTAGTATTATTGATATACTTAAATATACATTTCAATCTTAATCGTTTTGACTTAAAACCTCTTTCAAACTCCAATAGAGAAAGAAAAAAAAAAGGAATTAGCTACTAATATGTCGATAATCATCGTTAAATTCTTAGTAGCTAACAAAATCTTCTGATAATATATCTTTCATCACTAAATAAAATTAACAATGAGTTTTATTGTTTAGATATAAAATTAATTTTATTTGATTTGTTTTGTTAGTTGGGGATGACTTGATGACATTTATACGTTTTGGTGAAAACGGCAAAGGAATAATCCGTATAAAATCCAATAATAAATTTTTTAGACTCTTTGGATTTTTTCATTATTTGTTATTTTTTTGTTTTATATTTGTATTTTTTTTTATTTGATTATTTTGTACATGACCTCTTTATTATTGTATTTTATTTTCTTTTTGGATTTGAAATATTTTACTTGAACCACGAGTCTATCGAAAAAGTTTTTCTACCATCATAAAATAAAAGTAAGACTGTACACATATTACTTTAATCAGGTTTCACTTATAGAAATACACCGTCCATATTATTAATTGTAATAAATTTGTAGGACGCAAATATATGTGATTGGCCAACCTTGTACCTTATTTTCAAAAATATCCCCACATGGTCATAATTTGTATATGAATAATATTTGGTCATCACTCACCATCTTACATCAATGAATAGTTACCCACATCCACAAAAAATGAAAAATCCTAAATAATAAGTGGGTTATTAAATATTGGTCGGATTGTGTTGAATTTAAACAGGTTAAATCGACTAAGTTAATAAGTGGATAGATCATAAATTCCCGCAAAAGTTATTTCGATTAAGTCAACATGGCTAAATAAGGGATCATGATCTAACATGTCCAACGCTTTTCAAATACTCATATCATATATCTTTTCTTATAATTTATTTGATAACCAATCAAAATAACTTTTATAATATTTATTTTACACTAAGAGGGTATTTGAATTGGCTTAAAACTTTTAGGTCAGTTTTTTACTTCTGGAAGTGTTTGACAAATATAAAAAATAACTTAAAGCAAGTCAAAAATGACTTAAAATAAGTTGAGAAGTGTTTGGCAAGGTCAAAAATGACTTAAAATAAGTCAAAAACTAAAAGTAGGTCTCCCCTTACTTTTTATTTTTTGACTTAAAAGTCATTTCAGTTTGACTTTTTATTTTTGACTTAAAAACTACCTTTTTTAAGTCAATCCAAACGGGCCCTAAATTTGAGACTTGTGATAAACCCATGATACCAACTGCAACTCTATTACAGTTTCAGCACCAAATGACGTCGTGTAGTGGATGGAGTTGATTCTCATATAACCAGAGGTCTCGGATTCTAGTCCTGGGTTAAGTATGGGGAGGTTTAATTTCTATCAGGCGCAAATTCGAATCAGTCATACTCCAATAAAAGTGTCGGACACCGAATAAAAAAACAAAAACAAAAACAAAAAAATAAACTCTATTACAGTCTCAACTATTTATTTTGCTTTAATTCTTACCAAATCCTCCAAATCACAAATATATCTACACTTTGGGCCTGACTGGCCCAGAACCAGCACGGCTAAGTTTATGTCAAGTGGGCTTAGTTTGGTTTCGAATTGGGCCTCAGTTTAACTGGGCTGATTAACTAATAGTGGATTAAGCCTAGGATTTGAAGTAACACCATTATTGGGTTTTATTGAGTTTAGTAATGAATTGTTCAAGATGACAAAGTAAATCTATTGATTTTTGAAGGTTTAAATTGAATTTAACAATTAGAAGATTGAATATCAAATTTCGAGTTGATTTGAAATCATTTGGATCAATTTTGAAATTAAAACGTGCTACTGAAATATCTATGACTTATCAGAATTATCGAGATTTGATATCAATTTATGACAATTTGCAACCTAACAAATTGTGTGGCGATTCATCAAAATCATCAAGATTTTATGACCAACTTATTGTGGTCGTCAGGATTTGTAATAAGGTAACTCGATAAATTTTATTGAGATCCGCTAGAATCGTCGAGATTTGATGATCAAATTATAGCGTTTTTAGTCGCAAATTTATTCTTGTAATTTGTTTTTTAAAATTACATCAAAATTTAAATATTGATATCATAAAATCCTATTAGTCAAAATCGTCTTGATGATCACATAAGTGGGACCAAACATGTCTCGTCATCATAAGCATAACCATATTTCATATCATTAGTAGGGTGTGTATTGATCAGTTTGGTTTAAATTTGTATATTATTAATTTGATTTATTTGATTTTAATGTGTAAAAATCGTAAATAATAAAAATCAATAAGATAACTATTATTGATTTTTGGTTCTTAATTATTTATTTTAACTGATAAAATAAGTAATCGTATATATACGATGTTCGTTATCTATTTTGTTGAATCTTCTACGTAAAGTTATTGAATTTAACAGGCTGTATAAGACAATAAAATCTCAATGGAATTTATTCATGAATGAAACGAAAGAAATACATTTCTAAATTTAAAATTAAAAAAAAAACGAAAATTACATTTCGAAAGGATAAAATGTTTTAATAATCAACATAAAGGAATATGAAATATAGTTGAAAATAGCTATTTCTCTATAATTAACAATTAATTATATATTATCTACTCTGCCACCATGGATTCAATTACCACCTCAGCTTTGTTGGGAAATACTGCATTGCATTAACAAAAGAAAATATTAAATTTATTAACAATTGAATCTACTATACCATATAAAATTATCAGGTTATTAATTTTTTAGTTGTATAATTTATCTTTTAGGTAATATGATACATATCGAAAAGCACTTACCTTTTCAATAAGAGAGAGATAGTATGGCTTGACTTTTTCCACATCAATTCGAACTTTACTCTTGCTGTATAAATCATATTTGCTGCATTTAAATTTGTAAATTATAAGAAAAAATTGTTGAAAATAAATATGTAATTAATAAAATTGAAAATAATAATAATTACTTAAAAATGTTGAGCCACTTCATGTTCTCTTTGTCCTCCTCATTCATCAAGTGTGTATATGCTCCTGACCTATGTAATGCTGTAAAATATTATTAAAAAAAGTTAGTTCACATTAATAAATCAGAATATCAAGAATATATTTTAAAAATATTTAAATTAAATAAAGTACTGATCGTGTAAAAACTATTTATATAATTACATCATTCAAAAGATAATTACATGTAACTGAACGCATTTCAACTGATTTACATAAATATTTTTCTTTTAGCACACCATTTTAAATATTAGACTATTTTCTCATTTTTAGAACCGATCAAACGTTTTCCTGTAAAAATTTCAATTGCGATCTAATAGATTCATATATTGCAAGAATTTCTAATCTCTTCCCACACCCTTTTAATGAATCTTATGTAACTCAAATTTAAATTAATCGAGCCAATAGATATCGATACGAAAATAAAAAAATCTTACCATAGAAAGAGTGGTAACGTATAACAAATAAAGCAGCAGAAGGAAGAGTAGTTTCATTTTCCTTGGAAACCAAATACATATAATCATCATGTCCCCATGACATAACAACTTTGTCAAGTCCACAGCCTTCTTTATATACACCATTTTTTGTGTTATAAATATTGTTGTTGATATCTGGATTTTCCTTAAAATACTGCATGATAAAAAAAAAATTATAAAAAAAAGTCGGTAAATATATAATATATGTATAATTCATGTCATATATATAATTTTTATGTATAATTAGTGTATAACCTATGAATACTAGCCGGAAAAAGTAAGTAATGAATCTAAAAAATAGGGGGAAAGTTAAAGGGTGCAAGAGGGTTAATGAAACTTGTTTTTGATAAAAAAAAATTATACTCTATATATAAAGTTACAATTATTTTTTATGTCCCTTGATTTTCTCGTCTATTTACTTTTTAAAATTTTGGAGTATAATAAAAATTCTAATTCCGATACTAATATGAACAAAAGTATTAGTAGTATACCTTGTGGTGAACAATTGATTCATCAAAAGCACAACCAAGAGGAAATGTGTCTCCAACAACAGCCCATTGAGGAAGCCCTCCAAAACTTGGATGAAGAAGTACTTTCCCTAGGTCTATGGTTCAAAATAAAAACGAGTTTAAGTTATACGTATTGATAATCACAATAATAATAACATATTTAATAAAATTCTATAAGTGAGATCTAAGAAAAATAATACGTATGCACTCTAAACCCTATCTTACGAAGATAAACAAAGTTATTTCAATAGGGCTTCGGCTTAAGTAAAAAAAAAAAACAAAATAAGAAGGAATGTACATAAATTTCCATGAGAAGTAATGATATCATAGCCTAATGTATATTTTGAATTATCAACTGTTGTTACGCAATATATATAATACTACAATATAAACTTCATATTCTGAACTCGCTACATAAATTGAAACAGAAAAAATACCATGAATGAGGCCAGTCAAATGAAGCCAATCTTCATTTGGATAATCTTTTCTAATAGCTTCAGCAGTTTGTAACAAATGCTCAATTTGTGGTTCATCCAAATCAGGATCACTATCATCAACTACATCATTCAAAAGTTCACAACAATCCCAAATACTCATTTCGATTTTGTTCAATTTTCCATATTCTTCTCTCATTTTTTTCACCTACAATATTTTACAAAAAAAATATCAAAATTAATTATATAAATCATGGTTAAATAAAAGAGAGCTTTAATGAAAAGATGAATTTTGTGGTTATATCTTGATCAAGAATAATATAGTATAAGATGAAAATATAACGACTTCTGACATCATCGAAAAGATCGTTCAATCAAGTAAGGAAAGGTCATGGGAAATCATGCTTCAAATTTCTATAGAGATTATTTTTTTTATTAAAAAAAATACAATTATTTTCTATAACAATCAAATACTTTTTAGAATCAGATTTTTATGTATATGTTATATCGAAATAAACGACACCGTTATAAAAAGAAGGCATTGAACTTACATAGTCATATGTTTGGTTAATGTGTTGAACCCTATAAAATTCTTCCACTGATTTTTGTCTCTCATTTTCTGCATTATAATCCCTATCAAACACATTCAACTTAAAAAAATTAGTTTCCATTTAAATCAAATCATTTTTGAGTTTTATTTTTTAATTTCAGAACTCGAATAAAAAATCTTTCACTAAAAATTGACGATAAATATATAAAAAAAATAAAAGTACCTAAATGATTGACCAAATGCATTTATGTCTGGCACTTCAAATATTTCATCTTGAGAAGACAATGTCTTTGGTACCATAAATCCACCATCCAAAATAAGTTCATTGGCATTGAATGAGACCTTTTTCTCCTCCACTTGTGATCCTATCATTTTTTTAAAAAAAATAAATCCATATATAATATTAATAAGAGTGTATACAACCAAATTTTTTTATAACGATTATTCTTTATGATGTTTTTCTTAATGGAGGCTATTTTTCACGATATGTTATACTATTATATGTTCTGATATTTCGTTATAGCAACCAAAAGTTATCAAAACACAACATCGTTTGGAGAGATTTGATTATAGATGTTATCGACTGAAACGTGTGGAAAGTTTCAAAGAAGAAAAAAAATATTTAAATTTCATATAAAATTTTAATAAAAATTAATTCATTTCAAATCTCTTCTCTCTCTATATATATATTTCCAAGGCCTAGCTCGAGTGGCAAAAGGTGGAGATTGTGGCTTAGGTCACAGATTTAGAGGGCCGGGCCCATTATCCACCAAGTTTAAAAGGTTATGATTGGTCCAAAGGGCGGATCACATACGGATTTCTCGATTATTAATATATATATATATATATATATATTGTAAAAATCATTTTTTGTTGAAAACATTTTGCTATAGCAATTAAAAAGTATAAAATCACAAAGCAGTTAGGAAGAGATTTGATAATACATTTTTAAAAAATAGTATACTCTTGGAAAATTAGATACAAGCGCAATAACATTTTAGGAGAATTCGAACAACACAAACAGAAACTCCATATCATTTCATTCACAATATAAACTAATATAGTTATTTAAAAAAAAAAGGATTATAACATACCAAATTCAGGCTGCTCAATGAGAATAGTCATTTTCTCAACAAAAAAATAATAATAAAATAAATCAACAAAAATTAGCAAATGAGATTTTGTTTATGCTGTTGTATGATGTGAATGATATTGAAAAACAATTTATGGGTATTTATAGTGTTTAGATTAAAATTGTCCTTGCCTGAAATTTATAATATTTTAGAGTCCTTAAAAGAAACCATTTGGTCAGTGGAGTCCTCAAAAGAAATCTAGCAACTCCTTAAAATTTCCAAAATTAGATATTTTGAAATCTTTGAGTCCTTAAACTGAAAAAAATAAATTAAAGTTATTATAAATATTATAATAAAATATTCCTTAAGACCCGTTCAAAATGACAACTACTTACTTCACCGTCATTTCCTCCACTCGCTTCATAAGCGCGTGTTTAAACAACCAAAATAACACTTCCGAAACTCGCCGTAGATTATTAGTTTTATAGCTTTAAAAATACTCTTATACTTGACTAACTGAACTTAAATACACCTCTAATTTTTCAACATGAGTGAAATACACTCCTAAATTATCATCAAGTTTAGGGATGTTTTCAACACTTCTTTCGACTTTTTATTAAGAGCATCATGCTCCTACAAAAGTTTGAAACCACTTGTTATGTCATTTGGCAGATCAGGGGTGTATTTAAGTTTAGTTAGACTATCAATAGTTCGGGAATTAAGATTAATAATTTGTGTCAAGTTCAGAGATGTTTACAATACTTCTATCTATTTTTTAATATTAAAGATTTCATTATAATATGTAATACCGTGTGATTGAAATGATTCACGTATAAATTTTGAATCTTTTTATTTCATGCTAAAGCTTCGTTAATAATAAGAAGTGTGAAGTGATTTGCTAGCGATAAGGATAAAATTGAGCAGTTTTGATTAGTACAGGGACAAATATGAACCTTTTATCTCGCTTGTAACGAACACGCGACTTGCTATGAGAGTGGGGAAGATTGAGTATATGTGTGATGAGTCAGCATTACGTGTATAGATAATCTTATTTTTATTGAAAATATTAGGCTAAATGACTAGGAACCAAGTCATTTCCTACAAATTTTTTGGATTAAATTCTAAGTCTGAGCTGTGAATTTTATTTTGTATTATCAAGACTAAAAACAAAATCAAGAACAAAAACCAAGAAAAAATAACTATCATCCAGGCTGTAGCCACGTCATCACACATTAGACCAAAAAAAAAATCGTGTTAAAAAAAAAGTAGATACAATTGGACGAGGCTAAATATGTGATCAGGAACGGAGCTAGTAGTTCAAATGTGAGTTTTGTCGAATTTAGATTATTTTTTTTTGTTTATATTGTGTTTGTATTCAAGTTTTATTGAAATATACTTATTAAGAATAGTAGTGAAGTTAAAAAATTAGTAAAGAATATTTAAGATTTTTTATACATATATCTTATTTGATGTGACAATTTTTAATTTTTCGTTTTTAGTCCGTCTCAAAAAGAGTGATGCCTTATTATAATTAGAAACAATTTAATTTTAAAGTTCTCATTTTACTATAAATAAAATGATTTATAGTCACACAAACATAAAAAAATTATTATAGATCATAAATTTCAAAAGTTTGATTTTTTCTTAAATATCGTGTCAAATTCAAAATGGTGCCATATAAAATGTTATTAGGGCTACTCATAAAGTATTAGAAGTTAAATGTTGTCAAAAATAACTTCAAATGTCATATATTATGAAGTTATCCGAAGTAAATGTGCATATAAATAATTTTAAAAATACAAATTATATGACGACATCAAAATAAATTCTCCACTAATTGAATAATTCATATTAAATAGTACAAAGATAGCGATTGATCGAATCAAAGTTGTAAAATCACCTAGTTGCAAAGTCCACAATTTAAGCATATTTTTTTATGCAAAAGATAACCAACATCTCTGTCTTGTTGCATTCATATTTTCATTAAATTTTTTAAATATATATATATATATATATTTGACTCAAATTTAAAATATCTTGCAACTTGGGATTGTTAAAAAACATTTTAAGTTGTCATTCTCCAATTTATTCAAATGCAAGGAAATTGAACTTGCATGTTGTACGTTGGTTTAGTTCGTAAGCATTGAAAGGCACGAATAGAAGCGAACTCATGATTTAAAGATAACGAAGATACTATAAAAAAAATGCATATTGGTGAAAGTGATCAATGTCATACTACATAGTTTTATGCATTCTTGTAAGGAAAAATTACGTGAAATAGCAAATATTTAGAGTATATTATGTAATACACTTAAAATTTTGATTATTTTTAATTTGTGGCTTTAGTTTCGCGAAATCTTGATATTCAGTTTCCTAATTAATTTGGTTCCTTGTATAAATATAGATTTTGTAAAATACGATTTTTGATTGTATAAATACATAATTTTTATATGTTTATCCTAGCTATATATATACGATTTATGAAAAAATTATAATAAATTACCATGTTTGTATATTGACAAGCGAATTATACAAATGAAGTTCTGAAAAAATTCTTAAATGTATAAATACAAAATTTGTATTTAATTACCCTATTTGTATATTGACAAACGAAATACACAAACGGGCAAACGAAATATGCAAGCCGCAGCCTCCTTAGCAAGTAGAACTATAGTTAGAGCACAATTACCGAAACTATAACTATAGAACCTTATTATATCTATTATTTTTGCTATTTCTGAAATTCTCTTTTTTTTAATTGTTAGCTAAACATGAAAATAATGTAGCAGCCCATCACATATGTCGGGCACACATAAATATTCATCTTCTTTAATTATACATATTAATATAAATAGAAATGCTAGGATTTAACGGTTCATTGAGACTAATGCATATAATTAAAAAGTGACATATTTCAAGTTGTTAACTTACATACGTAATGGGCATCCAAGAACACATTCAATTTTTCCCCTCCAAAAATTGATACAAATATGTCTAATATCAACAATTTATCACATGTCCTAATGCTCAATGGTCACAAGTCATAATTTGGGCGCATGAGTAAAATTTACTAACAAATTTAAGAAACTGACGTACAAAGGGTCACCCTTGTACTGGGCTCATATCCAAAACAAAAATCTGGGCCTCAAAGAGCACTAAAATTTGGACCCGTAATTGCAATACTTGACTCTCACATGTTGGCCCAAGAGAATTTTGGGCCTTTGAATCATAAGAAACTCACCAATGAATTCGGTTAGGTTTTCAGACGTTGATTGGGCTGGATCTATACTCACTTGACGATCTCTACAAGTCTCATCGCGTTGATAGACCTTAGACACCATATTAGATTCGCCAAATATATATAGTATACCGTCCCATAATTAGTCATGACAAATCACACTTATCATTAGGTCTATATTTATGGACTATTAAACTCGTGTTTTTCTTACGTTCATCTAAAATCTAATAATTTTATAATATATATGTATATGTATATGTATAAATTCTAAACAAAATAAATGAAATGATTATGATAAAATATCGAACTCAAAATTTATAATTTCATGACTTTCTGGGGTATAGATTTTGCATGAATTTTCCTTATTTCGAATTGATGTTTAATTTTTGCTCCTCAAATTTGTGATTTTTAAATACATGTCTTCTTAAAATAACAATGTTTAGCAAAGCTCACTATCCCACTAAAATGGGCTGATTGGGCCATAAGGCCCACTCAATAGAAGTAGCCATTGTGAAAATGTCATAGTTTGCAAATGTTAAATTACATGTTATAATATTTTATCTATAAGGTTGGATAATATATAAATAAATATTAAATCTAGATTTAATGTTACTTGAAAAGGTAATTTCTTTTGATTCAGCTTGGATGATATATGAATAAATAATAAATCTAGATTTAATGTTACTTGAAAAGATAATTTGTTTTGATTCAGTCGTATTATTTGTTATTGCTATTATTATATTCTCCTTTATTTTAGCATGACTTCTTTACTAGATGTGTTTCCTTTTCATGCTTGAATTTGATATATTTTACTAGAATTAAAATTTTATCGAAAATAGTCTCTCTACCATCATGTCATAGGAGCAAAACTACGTACACATTATCCTTCTGCCATTTATGCAACTACACTAGATATGTTGTTGTTTAGAACAAAATTTAAATAATAACCTAAAATAAATATTTGTGTAAATTAGCCAATGTTTGATGTGATGGTTGATTATGATTATTTAAGTTAATTGAATATGACATTCAAAGACAGCTATTTTACTTTTAGACAAAATTAGTGATATGTTGTTGAATATTTATATTTTTATATTATATAAAATTAATTCAACGGTTGATATTTCATGCAATATATCTTTAATGAATTTCTTGCTTGGTTCAATTATGTCACATCTTATCATTGAATATTATGTCCTTTCTATCAAACCAAAATAAGACATCACAAAAGCTAAATGACATACTGGTTGTGTTACAAAATGTTATCAAACACACCTTTAAGTATTTATGGACGTGATAAAATAACCCACAAGTCCATTCAAGAAGATACGATAAAATTGAAACGATATAAAAAAAATTGAGAAAAAAAAACAATTTATTTAAGTTTGAGTGGTATTGAATTCGTTCATTTACTAATTCAGTATTGAGTACATAGATTTCATATATTTAAAATTAGATTAATTCAAGTCAAATGTGTCATTTAAATTACTCATGAAAAAATTATATAAACAACCTTCTCTAATCACTTTTTTGATGTATTTTTGAAAAATAGTAAGGAAATTTTAAATTTTACTATTGAAACTCCAAGAGTTTTCCTTGTGCGTGAATAATTGTTTGTGTGAATTACTATTATTTAGTCCATGTTGACGCATTCCGTCTCATCTTAAATAATTCTCAAATACAATTACTAATTCACCTTTTTTTTTTTTTTTTTTTTTTTTTTTTATCAATTTCACTTTTTTTAATTCATTTAAAATTCAGTTAAATTTGATCATTTAACACGTCGAAACACTTAGGTACCTGGAATTCTAATAGAAAAATTCCTTAAACATTCTTCAATTGCTTGTTGTTATCATCATCAATAAAACACCATCATAATTAGAGCCGTCAAAATGGGCTTAGCCCATGGGGCCGGCCCAACCCAACCCGTTATTGGGATAGGATTTTTCAATCCCTTTTAAAACTAGGGCTTATAAGCCTGACCCA